GAGGAGCCCAGCCCCGCCGGCGGGGGGCGCGGGGGCGGACCCGGGAGCCGGGACGCGGCTCTGAACCGCGCGCGCTCCCGCCCACAGGCCACCGCCCGAGGGGGCCGCAGCGCCGCGCCGCCCCGCCGAAGGCCCCCAGAAGTGACTCCAAGCGCTGCGAACCCTGACCCTCTCGGAGATCCCAATAAATCCTGCAGCGCACCCCTCCTGCTTGAGTCTTCTGTGTTTTCTTTGCTGTCTAGTTCCCTATCTCTTTGGTTTTTGGAGAGGATAGTGTTACAATGCGGAGACTAGGTGTGGTGGCGCGCGCCTGTAATCCCAGCACTTGGGAGGCTGTAAACAGGCGGATCACTATGAATCAGATCTAGTAGTGAGACCCTGAACACCCTGTAGACCCTTCCCTAAAATACAAATAAATAAATAAAGTATTGCTGCGCAGTTCAGGCTGGCCTTGAAGTCACTGTGTTGCTCAAGGCGGAGATCCCAGGCGCGCTCCACTACTGTGGTGTGCCCACCCTTAACTCTCCCCACCCTTAACTCTCCCCACCCTTAACTCTCCCCACCCTTCCACCAGGTCTGACCGCTGAGGTCCCAGGGGACAGCGCAGCAGTCAGTAGAGGCCCTGGGCCATCACCCTGGAGCTATGAGGCAGCCACGACCTGACTAGATGGAAGACTCCGAGGTGGTCAAAGTCATGGTCTTTACTTTACATGGTCTTTTCTAGAGCCCCAGGTCAACCTGGTGACCCTGGGGGGAGGGCTCGGGTACTTATGTGGGTCTTTTCTCGGCAATGCAGGCGTAGTCAGTGCTTGCGTCCTCTTTCATGGCCTCCCGGTCACCACCACCGTTGGTGGCCAGCGGCAGTCGCTGAAGCGATGCGTAGTGCAGCTCCTGCTCCTGGTGCTGGTGGGGCTGAGGTGCGGGCGAGGGTCCTGTAAGCTGCCCCGCCGAGGGGCTTTGCCTGGCCACCTCCCCAGCCCCCACACTTTTCTCCATGCTGGGGGGTGCGCTGCTGGGCTACATCCCCCCTTTATAGTTTTTGTTTATCTCTTGGGGAGGTGGGTAGAACAGGAATCGAACTCAGGACTTGCACTTAGCAGGCAGGCACTGTGCCACGGCACCACATCCCTGGCCCAAGATGGATTGACTGATTTGGTCTTTTTGAGAAAGTGTCTCACTATGCAGCTCAGGCTGGCCTTGAGCTCACTTTGTAGCTCAGCCTCGTCTCGAACTCACAACAATCCTCCTGCCTCAGCCGCCAAAGTGCTGGGATGACAGGCATGTGCCGCCACGCCTGGCTCTCCTCCCACTCTTACTCTTTTACTCTTTCTTCTGTTGCTCCCTCGTTTCCTATTTTCCATCAGTGCATCTCCCATCTCTCTGTTCTCTGGCTTTTCTCCGATCCACACCATGCCATCTCTTATCTTCCTACATTGCCTCCTCCCTCCTCCTGCCTCTCCTTAGTGCCCTGATGCCCAGGCTCCTGCTTTCTCTCCCCTTCCTCTAGGCCACCCTGGCCCTGGCCTCAGTGTCCCCAGGCCCCAGACTCCACTCTCCGGACTCACCTGGCTCCTCTCCAGCTTCCTCACTGCAAGGAGAGAGGCAGCGCGGTGAGTGTGTGTCATGGCCCACTTCCCACCCGCGTGGCCACCTCCTCACTTCCCCGGGCCCGGCCTGCGGGTGCTTCCTTCCTCCCGTGTGCTGCTGGCCACCCCCGGCTGCTCCTGCCTCCCATCGCAGGCTGTTGGTACTGGGTTGGTACTCACCTCTGCGATGTAGCCGGCACAGGCAGGCGGTCAGGATGAGGAACAGCAAGAGCAGGAGCGCCCCCAGTGCCAGGCCCCCATAGAAGTAAGGGCCTGCGGGAAGAGGGTGCTGGCTGTTGGCTGCGCTCAGCCCCCCGCCCTGTCCTCCTGGCTGGCTGCAGGCTTCTCAGTTCCCTTCCCCACTGAGGCAGACAAATAGGGATTTCCGTTGCATGCCTGGTCACCTCACTACCACCCGAGGCCCACATCTTTGCACCCGGCCCCCTCAGTGGCTCCCTGTGGGTTCCCCAGGTGCCCTGACTGGCCGCTGTGCTCCCTGTACAAAGGCCAGGCCCCTACTTACATCTATGAATGTCCATTGCCAGCCGACATGAGGTGGGACAGAAAGCCAGCTTGGAGGTCACCTCCTCGCCTGCCCCTGTTCTGCTCGGCCTGGTGGCCGGAGGTAGTCACGTGCCGCTGCAAGTTCCCTGTCCCTGTGGCCTCTGTTAGCCCCTGCCGCAGTGGCAGGGCCTCTCCTATGTGCTAACCCTGTGCTGGGCCCTGTTGTCACCAACCCAGACAGCATGCGATGCTACAGGGCCCATTTTCCAGATAAAGAGTCAAGACTCAAGGCCAGGCTCTTTTTTATTTTTTTGTCTTTTTGAGACAGGGTCTTCCTGTGAGGTTCAGGGGTTCAGGCTGGCTTTGAGTTCACTTTGTAGCCCAGGCTGGTCTTGACCTCTCAGTGATCCTCCTGCCTCAGCTTCCCATCAAGGCCAGACTTTTATGAGAGCGTCTAGCTGGAAGTGGCAGGGCTGAGGCTCAGGGCCTGCTCTGTCCCACCCCAGACCTCCACCCCTGCTGGCCAGGTGGTGAGCAAAGGCCTCTGAGGCCCTGGGTAGCTCTGGGTGCTTGGTAAGAGGGGACGAGGAGGAGAGGAGTCAATCCACGGTCGCTGGGGGACTGGGAGGAAGTTGTCCATACTGTGTGTCTCAGCTGCTGGGCCTGGGAGCATAGGGCCCACTGGGCTGCGTCGAGAAGTGGGGTACATGGGCCTGAGCCTGGGACTTCCTCTCAGGCACTTCCTGCCTCCAACTGCTGGTTCCTGTTTGAGGGCCAAGAGGGGGCCGCGGATTTCTCCTCCCACCAGGTCCCACAACAGCGGCCTGTGAAGACACTTTTGGGAAGAGGGATTTTGGGGTGTGTGAGGAAAAGCAGAAGCTCTGTGTGGGGGAGAGAGACCACGGGTGGAAGGGTAGAGTGGATTATTTTTTTAGTAATGCAGGCTGGTCCTGAACTCACTATGAAGACCATGCTGGCCTTGAAGCAAGGCCATCGTCCCGCCTCAGCCTCCTAAGTGCTGGCCTGACAGTGTACACCTCCACACCCAGCCAGAAGTGGATTCTCTTTCTTTCTGGGGGCAGCAGAAGCTTACAGGATGGACAGAGGATTCCTCCAGGGCCTCCAAACCACAATGCCTCCCTCACCTTGCCTCCTCTCACTGGCGTGTCTCCGCCATCAGCCCTGCCAACCTAGAGCATGTGGCCTGCAGGGGGACATGCTCACCCGGCCAGAGCCCTGGAGAGCACTGAGGCCTCCGCACCGATCCTTGCCCCTCTGCCTCAGCCTCCCACCGCTGCCAGGGAGCCTCTCGAGCGAGGTAGGAGAGGAAGTGCGGCTCCGAGGCTGGGGTTACGGGCTTCCTCACGGAGGCCCCGGGCGCAGCTGGGATGTCATCGTGCTCGGCCCCAGCCACCCCCCACGTCCACCTTCCTCATCAGACTGCTCTGGGGACCTAGCATGGCATATCCCCTGGTGGTTTGCAGCTGTCCCCAGCAGGTAGCTTTGCTGGCTGCTTGATAAGCAGGAGAGGCAGAGGCAGCCAGACTCCTGCCTGAGCACTGCAGGTGGAGCTCAGACAGAGGTCGGTACTGAGGCGGCTTTGGTAGAAGAGCTGTGGGTAACCCAGGAGGACTTCTACCGGACCCGGCATTCTGAGGCGCAGCACGGGGCTGGGAGCCAGGAACGGTCCAAGGCTCTCTGCAAAAGACCCGGGTAAAGCCCTGCAGTGGTGCTGTGTGAGAGACGGAGAGGGGTGTCTGAGGTTGTACCCCCAGTGTTTGAGGGGTGAAGACAGGGTCAGGCAGCTCATCTGGAGACAAAAGGTTAAGAGGGGATCTGTACCTGGGTCCACAAGCATTTTCCTTTGTTCTCCATATTCCAGAACTTTCTGCCACTTCCTTCCCACCCCATCCCCAGTGTTCCCCACACAAAACATTCTAATGTGTGTGAAAATGTTTACATTTTATTATTAAAAAGTTACAATTTAGGGCCAGCCAAATAGCTCAGCGGATTAAAAGCTCCTGCAAGCAGGCACAGGGGCTGGGGGTTCGATCCGTGGGCCTGCTGTGCTGTCCCTATCCCCTGGGTGTGCTGAGATGGCAATTGAGACTGGGTGTGGTGGCACGTGCCTGTAATCCCAGCTCTTGGGAGGCTGAACACAGGCAGATCACTACACTTCCGATCTGGTAGTGAGACCCCAAACACCCTGTAGACCCTTCCCTAAAATACAAAAAAAAAAAAAGTTACAACTTAGAGAAAAATTGAAGGCTGTATACGAAAGAAATCCCTACTATGTAGATTATATAATGTTTTAAATAAATTTTTTGTTTTGTTTTGTTTTTGAAACAGCCTCATTACCTAGCTCAGGCTGGCCTAGAACTCTAAGTTCCTTGCCCATCTCAAGCTCCCGTGCTCCTCCTGGCTCAGCCTCCCAAGGGCTGGGACTACAGGTGTGCACCACTACCCCCAGCTAATCTCACGTTCTAGCTTTCACAACGGCAAACATTGCGCCATGGCATCGCCAAGCCGCCAGCACACTAATCGTCGCCTGGCGTTTAGCGTTTGCTTCCCCATTTCTTTTTTTCGCCTGAGGAAGACAAAAATTTACATCGTGTGCAGTGCGCAGACCTGCATCTCTCAAATGACCAGTGATGCTGAACAGTTTCCATGCGCACTTGCTCTTTGTGTTTCTTCATCTGAGAAGAGCGTATTCATCTCAGATGACCATTTTTGGATTGGATCTTTGAATTTGGGAGGTCTGATATGTTTGAGTTCTTTTTTATTATGTATTTGGCACAAGGACTCGCCATACAGCTCGGATTCGCAGTGATTCTCCTGTTTTCAGCCTCCCAAGTGCTGCAATTACAGGTGCACGCCCCCACGCCAGCCTCAATGGCCTTTTCATTTCCCCCAGGGGCGGCCGGCACAGCACACCAGGGATCGAACCCGGGCTGTGCTCTACCTAAGCAGGAGCTCTAGTTTGCTGAGCTATCTGGCCCACCCTAGTAAACCTTTTTTTTTTTTTTTTTTTTTTTTTTTTCAGAACCAGGATTGAACTCAGGCCCTTGTGCTTGCCAGGCAAGCGCTTATTCTACTGAGACATCTCCCCAGCCCCCTAGTAAACCTTTTTTGAGGAAACATTTTTTCCCACACTGTGGGCGGTCTCGTCACTCTGGTGACGATTTATTTCTCTAGCAAAAACTTTTTAATAAGATGAGATCCCAGTTGTCGACTCTTTGCAATAGTTCCTGTGTGATCCAGGTGTCAGCCGTAGTTTTCGGCTACACCAATGTTTTCAAGAGCTCTACCTATTTTATCTTCCATCAGATTTAATGTCTCTTAATATTTAGATCTTTGATCCATTTCCAATTTAGTTTAGAGCATGGTGAAAGATACGGGTCCAATTTTAATCTTCAGCATGTGAGACGCACACATCTGAGGTTGGCACTCAGTTTTCTTAGGGGGTCAAGGCCAGCGCTGCATGCATGCTGGGCAAACACTGCACCCCAGCCGTCTCTGCCCATCTGCCCATCCACAGACGGCTCTGTTCTCTCCATTCGTAGTCTGGCTGTGCTGTCACCCAGGCTGGTCTCTGAGTGCTGAGCTCCAACGACTCTTCCACCTCAACCTCCTGACTGTTGGGGTGACAGGTTTGGCACACCATGCCTGAGCCCCTAAGCTCTTCATGCCTGTGGGCCTGCTTCCTCTTAGGGCTTTTTCTAGGACTAAAGTAATTACTGCATAGGAAGGGTGCAGCTGAGCGGTCATCACACGCTCGGTGCTGTTTCTGTGTTAATATTACTACGGCCAGAGATGCTGCCAAGGGGCAGTGATGTGGGACCAGCGGCCACTGCCTCGCCCGGGTCTTGCATTCTTCCCTTGATGCCCACCTTTTCCATTCCTTTGGTCTTTGATGTTTATTTTATTTGGTCCTTGCTGTTTTGTTTGGCCTAGCTGTTCATTTGCTTTTCCATTCATTTATTTGTAGGCATTTAGTGGACACTGGCTGATGGACGGGGCTTGCTAAGCCGAGGTCCTGAGGGTGGGGTGAGCCTCCCTCATGGTTTTCCTGTCTGCAGCAAGGGAGCCTGCTCCCCACTTTCCTCTCTACCCATCCACTCTGCCCTAGAGGCTGGGGTGAACAGGGGAAAAGGAAGAGGATGCTTAGGGTGGGGACAGGCTCCTCTCAGGGACATGGGCACCCTCCCTCCTGACCCCACCTGCTGTCCTCTGATCTCTTGATCTTGAGGACGCGTCACCCCTCCTTGCAGCAGCCACCTCTGGGGTACAGAAGAGCACAAATCACGCAGATGGCCCTCCCATCTGGTTAACACGGCGTCCTTCTACTTGCAGCCTTCTGTCCCGGGGCCTCAGTCTCTCACCCCGCTGAGACCAGGCACCTCCGGCTATACCTTAAACATCTGCCTCGACCCCAACTCCTTCCCCGGTTCAGAGAACCCAGGCATCCAGCAGCCCCACCCCAGCTCTGGGTAAACAGGAAGCCCGGTGAGGGGAGCAGGACAGGGCGGAAAGTCCCACCCAGGTGTACGGGTCTAGGGGAGGGGACGGCCCCACCCCGAGGTATGAAAGCCCCTCTGCCGAGCTCTGCTTCAGAATCTGAATGGGGGACGTGGGGATGCAGGGCCCGGGCGGGAGGCCCCGGGGGCGAGGCTGCCTCCTGCTGGCCGTGGCGGGTGCCACTGCACTGCTGACCCTGCTGCTGGCAGTGCCCATCACCGTCTTGGCGGTGCTGGCCTTGATGCCTCAGGAGCGGGGAGGACAGGTGAGTGGCGGCAGCAGGCCCGCGGGCGGGGGCTTAGCAGTGCTCCCTGCCTTCAGGCTCAGCTGGCGGGCTGTCCCAGGTGGAGGGAATGTTGGTCTCTCCGCGGCTTCTTTGCACCTTCCTGCAATGCCGCGGGTCCCGGTATCTCCAAGCAGCCTCTTAGTTGTCACTCTCTGCTGTTCCCATAGCACCGGCCTCTGTCTCTGGCCAGGCCTGTTCGCCTTTCCACCTTCAGGGCTGATGTGTGTTGCAGCCGGTGCGAGGCTGAGACCTAGACCCGAGCCTGGGGCTTGGGTCCGCGCTAGGAGGGGCGGGGTTGGCATCAGCTGAAGCTGAACTCTGGGTGCTGTGACCCCACCCATGCAGGTGACAGAGCCCCCTGGCCCAGGAGCACAGGCCCAGGAAGGACTGGGTAAGAGCAACCGTCTCCTATCTGCCCTCCAACCTCCCGTCCACCCCCCCTCCGCCCTCTACTACAGGAACCCAGGCTCCCCACCTCGGGGCTCTGTCCTGGGAGGGGCAGGGCGCATGCACGGTGGCCGCCTCCCCACGCGCGGACTCTTCTCCAGCTCCAGGGTTCCAGGAGCAGCGGGAGGAGCTGCCAGACAGAGACCTCGGCTCCATGCTCCCGGCTGCCCACCTCATAGGTAACGCAGCGTTGGCAGAGCTAGGGCCGGGCTGCCGTCCACACGAGGACCCGGGCCTGACCCCCAGGGCTCGCCTAAGACGCCTCCTTTCCCTTCCCCTCGCCCCAGGCCAACCCCGCCCCGGCCGCGTCCGAGCCCCCCTGCCGTCTGTCTCCGCAGGCGCCTGGACGCAGGGGCTCGGCCTCGGCTGGGAGGCGCACAAGGAGGAGGCGTTCCTGCGCAGCGGGGCGCAGTTCTCGGGCGCGCGCGGGCTGGCGCTGCCGCGGGACGGGCTCTACTTCCTCTACTGCCACGTGGGCTTCCGCGGCCGCGCCCGCCCCGAGCCCGGGCCCGCCGCCCAGCTCACGCTGCGCTCCGTCCTGCTGCGCGCGGGCGGCGCCTACGGGCCCGGCGCGGCCGAGCCGCTGCTGGAGGGCGCCGAGACGGTGAAGCCGGCAGCCGGCCGCGCTCCTGGGCACTCGGCCGCGCCGCTCTGGTTCACCAGCGTGGGCTTCGGCGGCCTGGCGCAGCTGCGGCGCGGCGAGAGGGTGTTCGTGAACATCAGCCACCCCGACCTGGTGGACTACCGGCGGGGCAAGACCTTCTTCGGGGCCGTGATGCTGCGCTGAGGCCCCCGCTGAGGGTCTGGAGGCGGCCTTCAAGCCTGATGCAAATAAAGACTAGAGTGGTCGCGCGGGTTCGCTGGTCTCCGATTTTTCCTGCGGCTCTCGAGGGCACCTGTGTGTGACCCAGGAAAGCCTTTGCTCCCAGGGGTGATGGTTGCCCACGCAGCCCTGCAGCCCCAGGTCTGGGCCCTCACTTGTGCGTGAGGCCTTCCAAGCCCAGGCACCTTTGGGCCCGGTCCCCATCTCAGGTTCTGTGAGGACACCCCCCAACCCCCGTCGTCCCACCCCCCAGGGGTCGTCCTTGGGAAGGTGAGGCTCAGACAGGCAAGGGACACCTGATGCAGCCCAAGGCTGTGCCCTACTGGGCTCAGCAGAGCCCTAACCCTAGCCATGGGCAGCGCTTCTCCTGGGCCAGCAGTCCGGATTAGAGGGAGACAGGCAGGCAGGAGTGTGCAGACCCTGCAGACACCAGGCCGATCTGGGGAGGCGGGGTGGGGGAAACTGAGGCCTTGGGGTTGGAGGGATGGAAAGTCCTTGCCCTTCATGCCTGCTCGCGGGCCCCCTTCCGCACAGTGGGCCCAAGTGAGTGTGAGCATTTGCCCCATGCCATGACCCACTTTCTGGCCCAAGCTGGAGGAAGTAGCGGGCGACTCAAGGCCCCATCTAGGTCACCGCAGTGGGTCAGCCCACCTTGGCAGCATACCACACGGTTGGTTTTCCCCTGCCTGGCAACCCACCTGGAGGGAAGACTTGACTTATGTGCCCCTTGGGGGTTTCCTTTTCTTTGGGACTCCTTTTCTGATTCCATATTTGACTTTGATCTATCTTTTTTCCTTTCTTTCCTCCCTCCCTTTCTCTTCTTTTTTTATTGTGATCTTTTTGTCTCAGCCTCCTAAACTGCTGGGATTACAGGTGTGCACCATCAGCCTAGTGTCTCCTTTCATCTTTGTGTCCAGAACAGCCGTCTCATGAGGTGTGAGATTCTTTGCTTGACCAAACCTTAGCTGGATCTCCCGGGCATGGTGGCACACACCTGTAATCACAGCGAGGCAGAAGGGCTTGAGTTCCAGACCAGCCTGGGATACAAAGGAGCTCAAGGCCATCCTGGGCTGCGTAGCAAGACCCTGCCTCAAAAAGACCAACAGCAACAACAAAAACCCCCAAACCAAAACAAAAAACACCCAGACCAAACTTTAACTAGGCTTCTTGGTCTTCTGCTATGCACATGTGTATCCTTCCTTGAATTTTTTTTTTTTTTTTTTTTTTTTTTAACCAGGGATTGAACTCAGGACCTTATGCTTGCCAGGCAGGCATTTAAGCCACTGAGCTAACTCTCTGGTTCCTTCCTTGTATAGTTTTAGCAAGTAACCCTGCTAGGTTAGTGTTTTGAAAACCCACGCCCTTTCCCCTGAAATCTGATCACCTGCAGCATCTGGTCAGGTTCCTCATCTTCCACCATCCTCCAGCTGGGGCTGATCCCCCTGGCTGTCTCCATGAGCACGCTGTCAGACCCTAGCCAGAAGCCCGCTGCTCCTGTCCCTTCTTTCCTCTCGTCATGTCCCATCCATTGACCCTACTCTTCCCTGGCTGTCAGTTCTTGCCTGCCGGTGCTGTGTCTGGACCTGAGCCAAGTCCCTTCCAATTGCACCAGTCCCTGTGCCAATGGCCATGACCCTGGATAAAATTGTTATGATGTTTTATCAGCAACCCCAATCACTGGGGTTGGGGTGTGTGTGTGTGTGTGTGTGTGTGTGTGTGTGTGTACTCTAAGGATTAAACCAGAGCCTTGCATTGGCCTTTGAGTAATTTTTTCTTTCGTAGGGATGCTTTTCTCTTTCTAGTGTGCTAACGCACCACCTCCCCTCATCCACCTCTAAGCGATCAGTGGCATCAAGACGGTAACTGGGTCAGTCGCCCACATCTTATTCCTTGAGGTTTTGGGGTTTGTCTTTGCAGCGCTGGGGATGGAGCCCAGGGTGTGGCACGTGTTACACGAGTGCTCTTCCCCTGAACTACACCCCCATTCCCATTGCTTTTCGGTTTTCTTCAGTCTCTTGAAGTTCACCCACTGAGAGTGTAGAAAGCTAGGCGCAGGGTAAGGAAGGAGGCAGAGTTTAGTGTGTGTCCACCGTGCCAAGCACTCGTCTGGACTCTGAGGGAGGCTGGGTCTCCTGGCAGGCCCAAGTGCGACGGACACACTGCCTTCTTGGCAGCCGAGGTTCACTGGTTCAGATGCACAGTTACGACAGAGTTAGGGGCTGGCGTGGCTGGGATCCAGGGATGTGGAGCGCAGACACCTGAGTCTCTGGAAGTCCCTTGGCAGTGATTCAGGCACCTGAGAATGTGGCCCCTCCCGGCCTCCTGAAGCCACCACAGCCGGAAGGAGCTGCAGTACTTTCCCAACTGGGATTTGGAATTCCCAGAGTGGGAAGTTCCCAGCCCCTGAGGGAAAGGTAGTTAGGTCCTGGCTCCTGCTTTCTGGTGGAGGAAGGGTATTGAACTGGGATATGAAGGGACCCCTGGGCTCCGGGAGACTCAGGACTAGGTCTGGATCCAGAGATCGCCAGAACCCACGAGAGGTGTCGTGCGTGGCTTCCCACCCCCAGGGAGAGGCAGGTGTTGAATGAAGTCCATGCCAGAGAATGTGTTTTCTTTTAAGCAATCTTTATTTCTCGCCACTGACCAGTAGGGCGATTACAGACAACTCCCCTGGGGAGCAGAGTTTCAGCGATGCAGCGACAGTGGTCACCAGATCAGCGTTACTAAAACACTGGGTTAGATAAATATTTCATTTTAAACCAAAGCAAAAGAAGGCACAGAGCCCTAGAGGCCAGGTAGGAACAGCCTATAGTTTATTGTGTTTTCACGGAAAACACGTCCGGCCCAAGGCTGTTCCTATGGTGGCCCCCGGGACACGCTAACCTTCACATAAATACATTCATCAGTAAATAAATAAATAATAAATAAATAATAAATACAAGTGCAATCATAAATAGAGGGGCTTGGCCCTGTGGGGGAGGGTTGGCTCCATAGCTCAGGGAAGATTCTGGAAGCATTTGAAGAGAGGAAGGCCTGGGGCTCACCCATGTCAGCCTCTAGGTGAGGTCTTCTCCAGGGGTGTTCCAGACCAAAGGCTTCCTGATCCTCACATTCCAGATGCCCCAAGTTGAATTCAGGGATCCAAGCTGTGAGCCCCAGTGAGTTCCGGAAGCTCCAGTTTAAACTCTTGGTGTGGCGAGTGAACATTCCATGTTCTACACCACAATCCCTGCACCCTGAGTTTCTGAGTGGTGGAACTGTTTAAAGTTCCAAGCTTGGGGTTTGGCCCTGATCCCCTAATTCCCTTTCTGAGCCAGAAGATGAGGGAGCGAAGGATCAAATGAACAAAAGGAACTGTTTGCAGGGGAGGGGAAGGATAGCTGACTATTTCTCACAAGGCAATGACCCCAAAGTAGATCTGCCCGGACTCCGCAAAGTCAAGATACTCAGGCTGATTGACCTCGGCGCTGAGTCGGTCGCCCTTCTGCAGCTGGAAGACCCCTCCCAGGTAGATGGGCTCGTACCAGGGGTTGAGCTCGGCCCCCTCAGGGGTCTCCTTCTGGCAGGGACTCTTGATGGCGGAAAGGAGGTTGACCTTGTCTTGGTAGGACACAGCAAAGCGGCTGACAGTGTGGGTGAGCAGCAGGTAGGAGTGGCAGCCTTGGCCCTTAAAGAGGACCTGTGAGTAGACAAGGTATAGCCCGTCCGAGGGCACCACCAGCTGGTTGTCGCTTAGGTCCATGCCGTTGGCCAGGAGGGCATTGGCGCGCTTGTTCAGCCACAGCAGCTTCTCCCGGGCTTGTTGGTTTGCTGGAGGGGGAAAAGTGAGTCAGTGTGACCTGGTTGGTTCACTCTCCGCATCCTGGCCCTCAAGTTCTGCCCACCAGTCCACTTCCGGTTTCCTCTGTCTTCCCACATCCCACTTGCTTGCACCCCCTTAGCTCTCCCTGTTCCCCTGCCCTCCCTGTGCATCCTTCACACCCGGTCCCTAAGACCCATCACCTGGCAGCCCCACATCCTGTCCCTCTGCATTGGCATCCATCCGCCCCTTCATCCCAGGTCACATGTTCGGAGAACTTACCTACAACGTGAGCTACAGGCTTGTCGTTCCCATTTTTAGAAGCCGATCCTGTGGAAAAAAGAGGAAAGAAAAAGTTGAGATCCTTGAAACTTCCCGGAAAATGTCTGCTTCGAGTTCCATTTCTTCTCTCCCAAACCCCAAAACTAAATTTCGCCCATCACTTCTATCCCAGGGCCACCCATGCCATCCAGACCCAGGTTTAGGAGAGAGACTCTGGAGAAACTTACTGAGTGTGAGCGTCTGGGCCAAGGGTCTGAAAGGAGGGCCGCCTGAGAACTGCTGGGGAGAAGGAGGAGGTTAGCATCGTGGGCGCTGCCCCTGGCGAGGCTCTCTGCCCCTGCCCTCTCTCTGTCCATCCATTGATTCATCTGCTCATCTATCTGTTTGACGGCTCTCCCTAACAACCCGGAAATGCTGTCTGTGAGTGGGCCAGACTGCCTTTCTTCGCCTCTAATCTGTCTTTTCCTCAACTCCCTTTATCTCCACTTCCACATCTCTGCCTAGCCATCTTTATCACTCCTTTCTTCCCGTCCCCCTGCCCACATCCCCTATCTCTCTCCGCATCTCTCTCTGTGTTTACCTTCTTGCCCATTCATTCATCCGCTCACTGCACACTGAGCGAGCGGGAAGGGATCCTGCCTCCGCCTCTCTCTTCCCCGCCTCTCCACACCTTTCTGTCTCTGCTGTGTCCTCCCCAGCCCTCCTGTCCACATACCCCTTCTCTCCTTCTTCCCCATTTCTGTCCAGGTCAAGGACTCACCTCCTCCCGCTGGGGGCCGATCACCCCGAAGTGCAGCAGGCAGAAGAGCGCGGTGGCTCCTGCCACAAGCAGGAAGGAGAAGAGGCTGAGGCACCAGCACCGCCTGGAGCCGTGGGGGCCCCCTGCCTTCTTGGGGAGCTGCTCCTCAGCGAGCTCCACGTCCCGGATCATGCTCTCTGTGCTCATGGTGTCCTTTGTGGGGGGAGCTGTGGAGTCCCGGAGCAGCGCGTGTGAGAGGGAGAGAACCTGCCCGTCGGGAGTGTCTGGGCTTATTTCCAGGTCTGGAGGTGCTTCTCCCCTCCTGGCTGGTCCCTGGTGTCCTCGCAGAGGGAACTTCTGCTGCTGGGGTGCAGACAGCTGCCTTTATAGCGCGCAGCCGGAGGAGGGCGGGGAAAGGCTCTCATTCAACCAGCGGAAAACTTCCTTGGTGGAGAAACCCATGAGCTCATCTGCAGGAAGCGGTAGTGGGCCCTACACCTTCTGTCTCGGTTTCTTCTCCACCACGGGGGCGGGCATTTGGAAAGTTGGGGAGACCCGGGCAGCCAGGATCCTCTTTACCTCCCTATCCGGATGCGGAGAGGAGCTTCTTGGGCAGTGGCAAATGTGACTGTAGGATCCAGGAGGCTGGACCCCAGTTCCCCATGCCTTCCGGTGTTAACTGTCCCTGTTTCATGGGGGACCTGTTTCCCTCTGATTTCCACACAGGACTCACAGGATAAAACCTGATATGTGATGGCCTTCAGAATGGGAGGTCTCAGCTGGGTGTAGTGGTGCACACATATGATCCCCGCTCTCAGGAGGCTGAGGCAGGAGGATCACCATGAGTTCAAGGCCAGCCTTGACTCCACAGTGAGTTCAAGACCAGTCTGGACTACCTGGCTAGACCCTGTCTCAAAAAACCCCAGACAACCAGAAAGTGGAGTCTTGCAGTGGGGGGAGCCTAGGGCAGACCCCCAGGGAAGGAGCTGGGGAGGGCAGCTGGAGACTGGTTGCATATACCCTGAGTCTGGAGGGCGTGGTGGGGTACAAGCCTGGGACAGCCCCAGAGGGAATGAAATCAGCCCTGGGAATTCACAGGCCCCATGGGCGAGCTTCTCCTTTCATTCTGACCTGGGGCTCACTCGGCTTTCAGTCTTGGCTTCCCAGGAACAGTGAGGGAGGTCCTGGTGTTTTTCATAAAGCTGCCTGTCATGTGGCCTGCTTCCTCCGATGCCACTGTGTCCCAGACCCACCAGTTCTCCTCAGGGCCCTGTCTACATCTGCTCCCCCTTCCCTCCATGTGGATGTGCTGGAAGCCTCGAGGAGCCCCCACTCAGCCTGCGTGTGAGCCCGCAGCTTCCAGAGGCCTTTGCGCACTCCCCCCCCCCCCCGTGTCTGCCCCAAGGAGCGCCCCGCATCTGCTCCGTGCCCTTCTCGCCTCCTTCTCCCTCCGCCCCTCCATCGCCTAGGGAGACCTGGAAATTCTCTCCGGCCCCAACATACACAGGTAGACAGCGTTTCAGAGAAAAGAGATTTATTGGGCTTCATCCAGGCTGCAGGTGGCTCCTCGCCGCCGCGTTGGGCGTCTCCCGCTTCCTTGCAGCCCCTCGGCCGGCCGCCCAGGCCGGCCCTGCTCTCTCCAGGCTCCGACTGCCTCCGCAAGCTCCATCTCGGGGCCTCTCTCCATGCTCCATAAATAAATAACTTAGGGTTTCCTTCATAAATAGTCCTCCTTCCCCGCCTGCAGCATCCCGCCAGCGCCCGCAGAGAGCAGTGGGCGACCCCACCATGGCGCCGCCGCTGCCCCCGCAGTGGGCCGGAGGGCCCCGCACATCCAGGGTTCTGGGAGCTGCAGCTCCTGCTGCGAAGCTCCGGGTGACTCGAGTGGGGGAAGCTGCTGCGAGGGGCAAGGGGGGGTGCCCCTCCAACAGTCAGAATGGAGGCAAAGTGGCGAGGAGGCCCTGAAACCTAAAATTCTTTTCCTTTTTGAGTTTTTCCAAGCTCTACAGAGCAAACGCTCCGAAGAAGACGCTACTGGGGCTGAGGAAGAGGTAGGGGAGGCCTTCGGTGTGCGTGGACAGCTGGTCGCCCTTGGTGAGCAGGAACACGGCGCCCTGGTACATGGAGCGCATCCAGTGCCCCTCAGGGCCTGGGTCCACGTTCTTATGGGTGCTGAGCAGAGGCAGGCGGGAGGAGTACCTGGAGGTGTGGACCTGGACCTCGTGGCTCAGGTAGAGGGGCTTGGGAGAGTGGCTCTGCCCCGAGAAGACCACCTGGGAGTACACGAAGTACAGGCCGCTGGTGGGGACCAGGAGGGAGTTGTTGCTCAGAGAGAAGCCGTTGAGGAGGAAGCCCTGGTCCGAGTTTGCTCGCCAGCGCAGCCAGCTCTTGGTTCTGGGGTCTCCTAGGAAGAGCCAGGGGGTGGGGTCAGGGGTCTAGGTCAGAGATCTCCCCCAGGCAGCAGGCCTGGGCTGCTGAGTTCCGAAGGACAGTGGGATGGGGGCCTGGTGGGGGAAGCTGGCAGGGGTGGGTCCTTGGGAGGGTACTTGGGCAGGAGGAGAGGAGAGAGGGAAGGTGGGAGTTTACCAACGAGGTGAGCTGCAGGTTTGAGGGAGCCATAGCCCAGGTGCCTCCGGACAGTGTGGGCAGATGAGGGTGGGAGGCCGGCACCGGGGAGTCCCTAGGGGAGAAGAGAGGTGAGAAGTCTCCAGGGATGTAGGTTGGGCTGGGCCACCCTGGCAGCCACCCCCCCTTGTCCTGCTGCCTCACCTGGGCCCCAAGCAGCAGCAGGGCGGGCAGCAGCCCCAGGAGGAAGAGGAGGGAGGCGCCATGCACCCTCGGGAGGTAGAGGCGTCCAGGTGGTGACATGGGGAGAGCCTGTGGGGAGAGACGTGAGTGGGGCGGGGCACCGGGCAGATAGACAGACCTCCCACCTGCCTTCCTGCCTGGCCGAGTGTGGAGATGACAGCAGAGAGGGGGACAAGACACAGGCAGCCAGGCCCAAGGTGAGGCAGTGGGTGGGCGGGAGAGAAAGAGACAGGAAGGGAGCAGAGCGCGGGTGGCACGGCACGAGAGAATGTGTGACGGAAACAGAGAGAAAGAGACTGACATGCAGCGGTGCAGCTGGGGAACAAACCCAGACCAAACCCACCTGGCCCAGGCAGACCTGAGGGGAGCAGGAGCCGATGCCGAGGTGTCAGGCGCAGGACGGTGGGGCGGGAGAGTCTCACCTGCTGTGCGGGCCTGGGCCCAGAGGGAGCTTGAGTCCCTTTATAGAGGAAGCGGCTGTGACAGCGTGGCAGGCGGCGGGCGGGTTCTAGGTCGGGCTGGGGCCTGGGGAAGCCCCCAGGGCTTAGAAGATGCTGCCGGTTCAGTCGAAGGCAGGAAAGGCTGAGGCCTAGGACAGAACCGCAGGCTGGGGCGGCAGGCAACTGAGTTCTGGGAAAGGGAGTCGGGTCCGGGGAACGCTGTGCCAGGACAGCCGGGGAGCGAGGTCAGGCCCAGGAGTTCCAGAGAAGGGACAGGCGATTCTGGGAGCCATGGGGGCAGTGGCAGGGCTGTGGCCTGGAAGTGAAGTTCCCTGAAGAGCTCTCATGTGGAACGGCTCTGTGCCGCTGGCTGACTACAGGCCCCTCGGCCTATTTCCTTCCGTGGTACCACAGCCTTGCCCCTAATGGTTGAAGTCATGCTTGTCCTAGCTAGTGTGCTTTTCAGATCAAGGACTTTGTTATGTGGCGGAGGTCCCTGCCAACACGAGTGGGGCCCCTTCTGCGCTGAGAGCTGGCCTGGCCTGGCAGATGATTTCCCGTCCCTCACCCAGAGGTGACTCATGCAGCCACATACATGGCCATCTCACGCCATCCCTGGAGGGTGCCAAGCTCTCCAGGGCCCAACAGGTCGGGCTTGCAGAACCCCAAAGTCACGCTGCGGGTTCCCCAAGTTCTCCACAAGGGAGCTTCAGATTTCCACACAGGAGGGCCTCCGAGCGGAGCCCCAGTCAGAGGGCTCGCCGTAAAGCTGCAATTGCCGAGCCAAAGCTACCTCAGGGCTGGAGGTGTGGCTTCAGGGCCGCACACTTGCTTCATGTGCAAGGCCCGAGATTCAGTCCTCAGCACCACAAAACATAGGAATCAAATCACTCAGGATTATTTTTCTTTCCCTTCCATCTTTATTGGTGTTAGGGATTGAAGCAGGGCCTTGTGCATGTTAAGCACAGGCCGCCTTACCACTGAGCTGCACCCCCATATGCTTCTCCTTTATTGATGTGTGCTGTGGCTTGTGTCTAGATGTCCCCCAAGCCTCATGCGGTCCTGGGTGGGGCTTCTTCAGAGTGTGTGGCTGGGAGTGACTTATGGTACACGGCACTAGCCTCCAGGGCATCAGGATGGGGGTGAGTGCCGCCTGCCCCGAGTAGCCCCGGTGGGATTCAGGGGGCGCCAGATATGGGTAAGGTCCTCCCCGCGCTTGTCCGGCCACCTTCTGCCCACCATCACTGTTCGTCTCTTTGATGCCCTTCTGCCACGCCACCCTGCCTGGGAGGGGGTGATTATGGGCTGAAAGCTCTACAAAATGTGCTAAATAAACCTTTTCCTTGTAACTTTGGGTGTGGGGTATTTTGCTTCAGCAATGAGAAAAGTAAACAAGACAGTGTGTGACTTCGCTACTCGAGGTGCCCCCTGCTGAGGGGACGTGTCTCTCTCTGTGACCACAGAGTTGCTACCCAGTGCCACGCATTTTCGGGTCCCCAGGAGGTTCCCGGGTGGCTTCTCTCAGTGCACACCTCCACAGATAACCGTTTGCTCCCTGATTTCTGCCAACATGGGTTAGTGCTTCCTGCTTTTCAGTTTCATTTAAGTGAAATCATGCAGAATGTACTATTTTGTGCTTAGCTTTTTTTTTTTTTTTTTTTTTACGTATTTGGTACAGGGTCTAGTGAGACCCTGCAGCTCAGACTCGTGGTGATCCTCCTGTTTTAGCCTCCTCAGTGCTGGGATTACAGGCATACACCATCATGCCCAGTCTTGGTGGCTGGCTCAGCGCGCCTAGGGCGGGGCCAGCACGGCATGCTGGGGGTTGAACCGAGGGCCTTGCGCTTACCAAGTAGGCACTTAGACAGCTGAGCTATCTCCACGGCCCTAGCTTTTTTGATCAACATTATATTTGTGAGCTGCATCTCCATGGTTGCCTGTGCTGGTAGACTTTTTATTGCAATATAATATTCCCTTCTATCAAAATGCTTCAGTGCATTCTTTTTTCTTTTTTTGATACCAGGAATTGAATGCAGGACCTTGCACTTGCCGGGCAGAGGCTTGTGCTGCTGAGCTATATCCCCGGCATCGATATGTTTGGTGCATTCTTGAGTTGGTGGGTAAGTGTTTGGTTGGTTTCCAATTTTTGGTTGATGTTGAAAATGTTGATATGAACATTATTATTATTATTTTTAATCTTTTTTGACTTTTCGAGACAAGCTTTTCCTATACAGTTCAGGCTGTCCCTGAACTCACTTTTGTAGACAAGGCTGGCCGCAAACTTGCAGAGATCCTCCCGCCTCAGCCTCCCGAGGGCTGGGATCACAGGTGTGCGCCACCATGCCCAGGGTATGAACAGTTTTGCATTTGTACCTAGGTCATTTTTCACAATTTACAGGTTTTAAAAAGTGAAGGTTCTACGCATGATTTTATTCACATTTTATAAGATCCAGAATCGTAATACCAGCTGGCTACTTCAAATACCATTGTGCTCCTGCTGGTTAGATTCCATGGAGAGTTGTGGAGAGCTGGGACTCCACGTGATGGCAGCGGCCAACCGCTTCTGCCCACTGGGAAGCTGCTGTTCTCAGACTCCAGTTGCTGCGGGCGTCGGCGGCCTTGACGCACCTAACCTTCTGGGTGGGCGCGGCTGCTCGCCCTCTTTTGCTCTTTTGTCCGAGTTCTGGTAGTTCTGCCTGTCATGTTTTGCTAGTCGGCTGTTCTTTCCGTCGTGTAGGGGCTGGCTGTTCCCTGGCTCAGTCCTTATAAGCAGCATGCCGACATTGCTGTAGAGAGCGGCTAACAAGAGAAAAGCATAAGAGATTTATTTAATCTAGGTTTTATGTAACAGAGGAGGTTTGAGAAGTGAAGACCCAGACCAAGCCTGGTGGCACATGCCTGAAAACCCAGCACTTAGGAGGCCGAGACAGGACGACCACAAGCCGAGGCCAGCCCGGGCTGGATATCGAGACTGTTCCCAAGTGAACAAGCAAGACCAAGCAGAAGTGAAGGCCCAAAGGCCTGAGGCGCACAGCCCGCGTTCGCGCACTCTTGACGTGGTGGAGCGGAGGGTAGAAGCGCGGAGACGGCAGCAGTCCGGCCAGCGGGCTTTGTGGGGAAAGTTCTGCCGCGCAGGAGCAGGACGGCTGTGGAGCAGGTTCTGAGTGCCGCCGCCGTCCCCGTCCGAGGCGAGGATCAGAGCGGGCTGCTTCGTGGCAGCTGTGGAGGAGCCGGCGCGGGAGGAGCACGAGCTGACGCGGACCGTCCTGGGGAAGAGCAATTCTAGTTCCGGCTGCCTGGCGGGCGGGGGAAAGCGGGTAAGAGACGGGGGCGGGAGAAGGCGGCAGGCTGGCTCGCAAGCCGCTGCCGAGGCCTCCCAGCGCGCCGCGGCTCCTGTACTCGGCGGCGGCGAGCGGGACGTGCGGGCGCCCGCTCTGTGCCCGCAGGCCCGGCCGCCTCCTCAGCTTGCGGCCCCACGCCCTCGCTGCGCACCTAGGACGCGGGCCTGGGGAAGGCAGGTGCGAGGGTGGCTCCCTGACGTCGCCCAGCGCTCCCGGCCTGGGCTTCCCGGACGCAGGGGAGGGCCTGGGGGGCCGGAGGGGAGGAGCCCCGACCGACCTGCGCGGTGCCGGGAGCAGCGGTGCCCAGCGGGGAGCAGGGGCTGGCTCGGAGGAGAGCGGATTGAGCATCACTGAGGCTTTGGGGCCAAGAAGTGCGTGTGGCTTTCACTGCGAACACGAGGCCAACTGCAAGAGCCCAGGGGCCACGGATGTAGGTGTGGCAAGGGCGCCATCGGCCTGCTGAGGCCTGGGCTCCTTCTCCATCCCTGGGAGGCGGGCGTGGGGGAGAAGAAAAAGAAAACCATTAAGGAACCCGCTCATCTGGGCCCGTCAGCAATCGGAGCCCGCTGAGGAGCAGACTTGGCGGCGTGCAGCTGAGGGAGCTGGAGGGGAAGGTAGCCGCACCGAGCAGAAGGAGAAGGAGGGGCTTCCGGGAGAAATCTACTCCTGGCTGTGCAGGAGTGATGGAAGAAGGCCTAGGCGCCTCCTTCAAATTACTCAGCCTGGACCTTCTTATGGGAGGAGGGGTGGAGCCCAGGAGGGCCTTGAAGTCACAGAGATCCTCCTGCCTCAGCCTCCCACGTGCTCAGATCACAGGAGTGCACCGCCATGCCCAGCTCATTTGTCTTTTTACTCTCATTGCCCGTGTGTCCCTTTTGGTGTCCCTTTTCACCCCTGTTTCTTTACTTGTCTCTGGGCTCCTCTTTCTCTGGTGGTCTTGGTTTCTTTTGTTTCTTTCTTCCTCTCTAATCATGCGAGCAGGTGGACCGAAAGACCCCAGAGAAGCTATTGGATGACATCAAACAGTTTCATCATAATGCTGAGACAGAGAGAAAGGAAGGGGGCTCTGAGGTCAGAGAGGAAGCCCGGGACATCAGGGGACAAAAAGGGAAAGGCAAGGGCTCTGGGGAGACCGGAGACACAGGAAGGAAGGGTGCGGCCCGGCTGGGGCTCCGTGTCACGGGAGCTGCGCCGAAGGACGCTCTGGGACAGAGCAATCTTGGTTTCAGTCTCAGTTTCAGAGGTTGTGTGGATTCAGTTTCTTTCACGGGGGCAGCAGACGGCTGGGGCTTTCCCCGAGTGGGAGGGCTGCTGCCTGGAGCCAACCCAAGCGCAGGGAAACAGTCTCCTCAGTGGTCTCTGGAGAAACCAGTGCAGTCTTGGGGGCCTCCGATTGAGGCCAAAATGAAATGAACCTCAAACTTAATCCAAATTGCTACGGAGCAGTCCTTTTTTTTTTTTTTTGCGGAACCAGGGATTGAACTCGAGACCCTTGCGCTTGCCAGAGAAGCGCTTATTCCACTGAGCCATCTCCCCGGCCCCACTTAATCCAAATTTAACCTCAACCCAAATCACAACACAAACAATGCCTACGATAGCCCTAACCTCAAATCTAAATACCTCCCATCAATAAATTCCCCAATAAAAACATAAACCAAACCAAAACCGACTGGGATGGATGCTGAAACCCACCTGTCCCCATTCCTA